TGCCTACTAAATTCTTGCAATAGTTAGGCATCCTGCACTCACTGCAAATAGATATTTGAATGCCATACTGTTACTTTTTCAGCTCTTATTTGGGCCTTTGAAAAACTCCTCTAAAGGCACTAAAGAGAAAACTGCGTTTTAGAAGTAAGGCAAAGTCTATTTTTCCTAATTTACTCACTGGYAGAATTTGGGTACAAATTCTAGAACTCCCAGCAAAGACCCTCCCTTCGCTTTTTAAAGTATTACATGTGGTCTTCTTTCTGCTTAGCTGTAATTTAAAATTCTGATTTTATTACTTCTCGTATCAGATGAAATACACCACGCTCAACGTAATAAATTTTCCTTCTTAAAATCACTCAAATGCAGGGTTGTACTAAAGYATTGTGCTATTTTATTTATTTAATTTTTGTGGTGTTCGATCCATTTAAGTATATGCAAAGACATGGTACTTTTTGTTCTGGATGGATACGTGCAGAATCACTTTCTGCTCTTTCATCTGTTTCCATGGCATAACCCTATAAAAAATAAAAAGAATCTGACTACCCTTCTGATTTAGACAGTGTTGCTAGTAAAATATAAAACTAATCCGCAGCATACACATTACACTAGAACTCGAAACTTGACTTGCATTCTTACATACTGGTATCTGCTACTTGGAAAAGAAGAGAAATGAAAATCAAACAGGCCTGAAGAGAAAAATCCCACTAATATTCAATGCTCTCTGCAAATGTCAATCTGGATTAAAACTACTAAGGCAAGACCAGGGCTGGTTTTTTAGTTGATATCTGCTATGACTTATGATTTCTGATCCARTAAATCACACCAAAAATCAGTCAAGTCATTAGAACTGAGCATACTTTTCACTGACACCCAAGTGGCTAGCTACAGGGCCTTTCTTTAAACATTAATAAGCCTGAAGGAGACTTTCAGAAAAAAAAAATAATGTTTCAGAAAAGCTTAGGAATAAGCTGCCTTGTTGCAGTGCTGGAATTGGCAGTGGGGCAGAGGAATGGGAAGTATATAAATAGATCTTTGTTAAAAGACTAAACTGATCATGTAGCTGGTTTTTACTGTAGAAAAAGAGGGTAAAAACATCCCCACAGTACTTGGATAGCCTTGAAATTTTCAAAATTTCCTAAGGCTATGCTTGCAGCAAAGCTCATGTATGTTGCTAGGAAAACTTGTACAGTTCTGAAAGAAGRTTAACCTTTAAAAGGTGAAGAAGAAACAGAATACAACAGCTTTGTGCAGATTCAACRCTAAACTGGACAAGAAAACAGCCCATCTTAGTGCTTCCTTGGGAGGGAGATACAGCAGTATTGCACAAAGTTGTACCACACACTAAGAAACTGATACAAATGCTTTCTCTTTTTCACATTTTTTTTTTACTGCCACTGGATAAAGATAAGTGAATGATTATTCAATCATCTCATTTCCCTAAGGCACTGAAAGCTGTAGGTTGGAGGGTTTCGAAGGATTTGCAAGTACTTAGCAGTGCTCCCCAGGATCAGGACGAACAAGGAGGTTCCAGTGGCTGAGAGGCAGCACATCCATCCCCTGTGGTGGGTAACGCAACGCAGCAGCATAAAATAGTCCCACAGAATGGGCCAGGCCTGTGCTGCTTAAGATAAGTCTTCCAAGCTGCATTTCCTTAACCAGACCCTAACCTTAGCCAGACTCCAGGTAGGATGGCGGGCTACTCAAAACCCTTGTGCTTGCTATTGCCCTTGACAGCCCCACAGCTCCCATGACTTAACAGGAGGGCTCAACTTGAGGACTTAGTATTTTTTAAAAACACTTTGACTAATTGAGACTATGACTGTTTTTCCCTCAATAAAAATAASGAAGAGAAAGGCAGAGGTTCCAACATACTAAGGTAAAAATAAATGACTTCATACAGAAGAAGCCTCTTGCCCACTGCTGTAGCCTTTTGCCACTGTGCAGATCAGAAGCTTTTTTACAAAGCATCGTGTCACACTGGGTCTGGGATCTGCATCCAGAAAATATGCCTGTCAATTCTGAAAAGCTTTGTTTTGGATTTCCAAGTCAATATTAAGACTAAGGACCATTCAAAACTTCAGAAGATGAAATTCATTAAAAGTGAACATTGTTTTGTTTTCAGATTTTAAAAACAATTAAGCCCATGTTTAGCAAGATTTTTATGTCAAATGTAGCAATTAAAGCAGGTATGATCATTAACTTACAAACTGTAATATGCCAATAGAAAAATCAGATCAACTCTAACACCTGTATTAGAGATTACAGGATAACTTTATATGATTGAATTCATTTATGGCATTGCATTTAACAAAACAATGAACTATAAAGCAACACTAAAACATCAGATAGGGCTAGAAAGAGCCCTTCCTGCTACTTTTAGCTCAGGACCACTGGGCAACTGCCACAAGGTTATACGAGTACAGCCTGCAGTACTGTATCCTATAACTGTCCATATGAACTTCTAAATTCAGTAAGTTGAATTAATGCTTTGTCCTGAAAACTTTGTATGTAAAAAACACAGCAACATAAAATTGCAGCTATCAATCCAATGTATGAAATGACACTTCATTTTTATTACTTGTTTACCAGCCTTCTAATCTTCAGCTTACAGTGACAGTTATTACAGATACTTGCGTATTAGTAATAATGTATCTGATAAATTACCCACTACATATACAGCTTTCTGAACAAGTGAAATAGATCTAATGAAAATTAAATGACTACTCTTAAATAACCCTAAACAAATATCTCAGTGGTCTGATTTCTTTGGAATGAAATTTTAAATGACAAACTCCTTTGATATCATCTTTAATGTCTTGGTAGAAGCTGAGAGACTTTCTGAAGGGGCCATCATGTGGCCTTCAGCAGCTGACCAACATTTAATTTCCCTAATAAAATGGGTCTAGAAACAGCAATACTGTATTTGCTCCTGCCTAGACCAAACTACCTAAACAACAAACCCAGTAACTCTACCTCACTGAGCTTCTCAGGAGTTGACAATGAAAGCTTTTATACTCAAAAAGCAATTACAAGTACTTTCATATACTGTGCGGATGATTTCTAGCTGCCTTCTAGTTCCCTCTATACCATCCTGTCACTGGAGAATGAGTGACATTCAAAGTCTTCATTAGAGCAGTAAGATAAATCTGCGTCAATCACCCTCCTGACAGACAGAAACCTCGTGCAGAACTGGAACCACGAAGGTCTGCTTCATCAAAGGAGACAGACCATGGGCTGCCTTAATGACTGCAGCTACACACACCAGCACAACATGAATATAAGGTCATTTTACTGTTTCAAAGCTGCTAAGAACACTCTTGAAGGGGTAACTTAAGCTCTACTGGAGCAGCCACTGAGCTCTTCAACATTTTCCAAGTAGTCCCCAAACCTTTTAAACTGTCCTTGCTTACCATAAATCCTGCGAGGTCACGCACTCAACTTGCTGTCTCACAATGAGAAGTTACACTCTCTTCGTATTAGTCATCCATGAATTCTTACTCTTAATCTTCTAGTTACATTAACTTCCAACCCTTCAATATCAAGAAGCTGGAGGCTTCTCTTTGCTTGTTGTGGATCACTTCAAGAGGCTTACATGTACAAGGGTCTGACTCATGCACACTGGACAGGTTCCACTGATAGGCAAGCAGCCTGTTATGGGTTGGTACAGAGCTAGCTGCTCCTGAGACCAGAGTACTCAAAACAGAGTACTGAAAACAGAGTWAGTTTTTCAGCCTTAGTCAAGAGAAACAGAGTGACTATGGCCATCAGTAATCAGTGGCAATACATGCAGGGATGCATTTAAAATGCAGGAATTGCTTTAAAAACATTGGAAGCCCAATGTCAAAACATGTCAAATGGTGGTCAGTGATTTAATCCAGTCTGCCAGAGCATCCCACATGAATAAGAGGAAATGCTGCAGCTTGCTGCAGCTGTCATTTCAGCYTTTTACACCCAGCCTTTTTCTGTGTCTTTCTGCATGTTCTTGCCAGCAACCTACAGGGAATGACTGACACATGGATCCCACTAAGGAACACCAGTCAACCTGAAACCTGACAGATATACCCCTAAATCTTGTCTTCAGGTGGCTAACCACATGTCACATTGCAATTTGACAGATGCTCAGCCAAGGGATGAAGGGATCCTAGTGCCAGCTGAGGTTCCTAGTGGATGACTTCAACATATACAAGACAGAAAAGGCTGCCAACAATCAAGGATATCACAGTCATTTTGAAATGCTGAGCTTCACAGTTGTGTTAACTAGCTGATGGGAATATGCCTGAGCAGAAGTAGAAAACAKCACCACTGTTGGCCATATCAGAGCAGCTGAGACATTAACTGCTTCTGCCCTACAGAACACCTACGTGACGCTTTGTAGTATCGCTCCTTAGGAATGCTGCTCCAAAATATGCAGACACAGGAGCTTTACAAGGTCCAGGGATGAGGAACGTGTTCTGTGGACAGGCTTGCATACTGCTAGAGTTGCTCCAGGAGTGAAGAGAGCTGTAACCTCGGCACATGTGTCCTGTGCACCTAATTTGACCATGGAATTCACACGCATGTAGACAAGAGATCAAGCAACACATTGACCTTGTTTTCCAATAATCATAGACTAAATGGTTGCAAAATTCAGGATCATCTAACTGGAAGAAAGACGAACTGTACATGAAGCACAAAAAAAAAAAACCCATAACAAAAAGCAAGTGACTAAGTTACCAGCATCTTTCTTATCAGAATTAAAAATATAGTATTCCTGTATCATCATTTAATATATCTGCAGAACTAGAATTTCCAAGTAGTCATAAGGACAAAAGAGAAGGCAGCTAACTCTAAGTTTACAGTATCATTTAAATCAAGTTAGMCAATCTGTGTGGAAGCCATACAGCAGGGCTTGCCATAATTTGACATTCTAATGCAATGGTGGTCAGTCTTCAAAACAGAACTGTTGGCAGCATTTCACAGATATTCATATAAAAGGAAAAGGTTTATATTATATCTCTTACCTATCAGACCTTTCTCAAGAGTAAAGGTTTTGTTGGTAAACATGCATTCGAATGCCACAATATGGAAAACTTTGTTCACTGTGTTGTGAGTTCCAACAATTCGGATGTACCTATGGAAAAAAGATAAGTAGAAGTTATTTTTAACTTTTTTTATATTTATATTAATCTGTATATTAATATTTCTAACTGGGAAAATTCTGTGTACTGAAATATAAATGATTTGGTGGAACTGTATTGTGCAGAGCTGTAAGAATTAAATAGCTATATTTAAARAGAAATACAAATATCACAACAGAAATTGCATCTGTTCAGGATACGGCTCCAGTAGAGTTTATGGGAAAAGTAGTAAATGTRAGAGCTGTGAAATTTATTGTGATCTTTTAACACTTAATTTGATGACAGAAACAAAATGAGGGACCCTCCAGCTCAGAAATGGACTTAGTGCAAATGTGCGCTCAAAACAGAAAAGCATTTCGAATTTGCAAATAGCTTCCTGAAGCTAACTTGTAGTTATAGATGAAAGAGAGAGAAGAAGAAGAAGAAGAAGAAGAAAAAAAAAAAAAAAAAGCAAAAAAGCAAGTCACTACATACACGTACAAGCTCATTACCAATTCCTTCCACTACTACTGGAGAATTTATACACCCAAAACAAAACAGAATCCAATAAACCAACAAGCTGCAATGGATGCACTGGATGCACAAGATGTCTAGCTTTGTTGCTATATCTTTTATTAATTACCAAAAAATAAAAATTAAATTAAATTAAAAAAAGAAAAAGAAAGTATTTTAGAAGTCAGATGTTGCTAAACAAAGCTACCTTTAGGTTATCTTCCTAGTTATAAAGCTTGAACTTTTAAACTTTAATGCAAAATCAAATAAAGCCACTCTTGAACAGTGAGAACTGTTCATTCTTTATATTACTTTAGAGGCTTCACACTCTAATAAGCAGACCTTAATCTTGACTCAGTCTGCTCCCTGCGTTTTCTGAAGGCATCTGACAGCTCTTACCATATTATTTTGGAAAAGCCTCAAAGGTGCATTGTACTCTGTCTCAAAGCTAAACAACACTGGAAACTGCCTTGAACAAATAACAATACTCCAGATGATGAGTTACCTGTATTACAGAAAGTTGTATATTAAGTTAAATAATTTCAATTAAGAAATATCAAAATATATGAGTCTTCAGCAACATCTTTTGTACGTTATATAAAGCAATCTTTCATTTATGCAGTATAATTATAATTCAAACCTAATGGCTATTCACTAATGCAGCAATTTTGTCTTACATTCTTCAACATATCCAGTTAAAAAGATTAACTGATTTTAATCACCAAGCCTAGAAATTATCTTGCAGCATTTTTAAGTCCAAGAGGTTGGCAAGCTTAAGAGACACAATAGTTTTGACTCAGGCAAGAAAGATGTATTGACTGAATTAGGAGGGTTGCACWAAATACACTCTAGATTAATTAACTGCGCATTACTAATATACTTTGAGAAGCTTCTGTTTGCCTTAAAGAATTTGGAAAATAAAACTGTTAATAGTTCCTTATCTCAGTACATTGTATCACTATGCCTCACATGCATATAATATACATGTGCATATGTGCCTGCATGTGTATCTCAATACCAAGGGGGTGAGAAAATAAACCCAAAATTTGAAAAATCTGCCTGGAAAAAAACATCTTGGTTCTGTGTGAATGAACACACACATTTAGGTTAAATAGTGTATTTCCCACTATTTAACAAAATTCTCTGTCAGCAGGTAGAAGGGGACATGATTTACTATTTTTTATGCAATATCTTGAATAGTAGTTGACTGCTTCACATTGGTGGCAATACGAAATTTGTAGTAAGGTTAAACAAAATTTTATTCATCAAAATGATTATATATACAAATTAATCTTTAAACAACACTAATATTTTTGCAATAGAGAAATTACTGATAGGACAAAATCCATTTTTCCTTAAATTCAGTGTATATATTTTATCTTTTCTTTATTCTGTTTATTTTCTTTATTCATACACATGTCACTCATACACAACTGAGCAAAAGTACTTTACATTAGAGTTGAGAAAGAACTTTTATGTTAATATGACAAGTTTTGCATTCCCTCATACTAAACAAGTCAAAATCTATTTTCTTAGGGCATCTCATGTCTGCTTCAGGGCTCACATTCCCCTAACAGAAACAAGAACAGATTCTGCAGAACTTGGGTGCGCTCTCATTTGCTGGTTTAATCTTGATTCTTTGTGATAGTTAAGAGTAAAGGCCAAACTTTACATTGCTTTGCCTTTCATCTGTTCAAGCACTGAGGAAAATAATCTTTAATTTTTAAAAAGTCGTCTTTATCTCTCTTCATCTTGAAGAGGGGTGGCCAAATCATACCTCCCTTATTACATGCTTGTAGTTCTTGCAGTCCTTTGAATCAGAGAAAAAAAAAAAAAAAACACAAAAACAAAAACCACACACACACACAAAAGCAAGGAAACAAACCAAGGACAATATTTTTAACAGTTGACATCCAAAAGACAGGTTTTTCATACCATTTAAATCATCACAAATGATTTGATTATCTTGGATAGCCGCATGGAGTCCTCCTCCTACATGCACTTCTATCTGGCAACTCAGCTGTTAACTAAGGACCCTGAACGAACTACCTTGTGTCTGCCGAGGTCTCAGTTTTCATTACGACAATACGGTAGAAGAAAGTTATTTTCTTCAATTAGAGGGGAACAGCGACTTCCACTGGAAAGCAGCCGAATCTTAAACTATTAATATTTGAACAAACTGTCTCGACTGATTAATTAGATAGCCACACTGCAATGCCCTCRTTTATTCCCCCAGTAATTCTTCACCTTTACATGAAACTATTATTTGAACACTCTGTCATGGCTACAAATATTCCTATTATATTCCTAAATGGCTACATGGTGCTTTACTTCTGCTGTTTCTGTTTGTTCAGCTGACTCATTTAGTTCAGATAACAGCTGCTGGTGAGGACAGCACTGAATCAACCAGGGATACTCTGGAGAACTCCAAATATCACAGCTCAGTCAGTTGCATCAGGCAAGGACCTGGGACATATGTGCCAAAGCAGAAAAACATACAAACTCCTGGGTTATTTTTAATTCTTCTTAAAACAGCACTACTAAAATACAGACCATCTCTGAAATAGATTAGACATAGATTCTAACCCTGTAGGAATACTGAGACAGAAGACTAGAGAAAAGCAGAGCTAAAGGAAATCAGCAGGTAYTTCACAACAATATTGTAAGTAATTTAGTACCAGTGCAACCCAGAACAGCAAAAGCGAACTAATACAGAGCTAGAATGCAACAGGTGCAAATTTTACTCTTAAGAACTTGGCATTTTCTTTCTAATTCATGGAGCATTTTATTAACACTACTTTCTTTATATGTTCCATAAGCACTTTGAAACCATCACCATTCATAGTCTGATTATCAGCCCAGGGAGGCACGAGTTACAGCTCAGCACACAAGGGAATTAGAAGACATTCTGTTTGTCTTCTTAGTGAAAAAGGGAACCGAGTCACTCAGAGCCACCTAAGCCACATTTACTGACAGCTCAGTCAAACGCACAACTGCTCAGACCCGATCAGCTGAATCAACAGTCAGGGCAAAAGAATAAAAAGGGTGAGGAGGAAGAAAGAAGCCTTGTCAGAATTAAATCATAGGCAAAGGCAGTGTGCATTCCATGCCTTAAAAAAATGTAAAAATAAAAGTTAAAAGGCTCTCTGTCTTTTGACAGGAGAGTTTTCCTGCACAAAGACAAGAAAAYCTCTTTTAATATCTATTTTATGAAAAAAACAAACAAACAACAAACCACAAGCCCAACTGCTTGTATTTGGATATGGCTAGAACACAAATGCAAAACATCACTGGCTCAATGGATAATGTGTGAGTTGTTAAATGCTGAAGAGTGGACTAATCCTTATATTATGTGAAGTTTGCCTTATTTAAACATTTATGAAAAAGCTTTTAATATTAACATTCAAGTTACTCAGATGTGAAACAAAGATGGCTTTGCTGGTTCTTTGTTTTAAGATATAAGCTTATCTTATTAACCAAATCCTGTAAAAAAAMCACGTTGTACTAACCAGTGACTCACAGGCTACAAGAAACATCAAATTCTTTAAGAGTGGAGATTTTATGCGTGTAGGAGCAAAACCCCCACAACGTCACAACTAACGGCCTGTTCTCAACTAGCAGAATATCAGTCAAACCCTTTCCTCTAAGGCGACAAAGCTTCCCAGCCCCTTTCTTTTGTGTGGAAGAACTGCAACAAGTTACAAATTATACCTTTATAAAAAAGGTTATTATTATGATAGACTTGTTCAAGAGTCAAAATCCTGTAGCCACAAAGGTGCAAGAATTTTATTACTTGGTTTAACTTTTCATATTCATGCTGTGTCAATCTGTTACAGCTACATATACAGTAATTTCAATGACTACTTACTGAAAAAAAATCTATTAAATTCATAAAGTTCAATTTTTCAAGCCTTGGGTCATGGATGACAAACCCACACACAATTCAAGGGCAACTGCCAGCAGGGGATTTTATCTCTTAGCTACTGAACAGAAACCTCTGTTAACAACAGGCGCAGAATTTATATACAGCTGCATATAAGGCGTTASAAAATAAAACCTGACACAGGAGCACAACCTCTGCCATTTAATATCTGAAAGACTGTGGGAGTGTGTATATCTGCACAAACTTCAACTGTATCCATAGCACTCATAGTTTGCAATAAAAAGTGTTGCATTCTGCACATGACTACACTACTAACACTTGTTATATAAATTTTCATTTACAACAAGCACAAAATGACCCAGAAGTCACCCATAYGAACCTGTTATGCACTGCAATAGTCAGACAAGAGGGAAAACACTTTTGTAGTAAATTCYTCACAGCTAGACAATTTTTAAATATACAACTCAGCACTGAAGAGTCTAAAGGGTCATGAAAAATTTTTTATCCAGAAGCTACTTTCAGAAACTGCTATCAAAAATTAATGAGTGAAGCAAAATAATAATAGGAATAGCACATAAGCTAAACAACTAGTTTACCTGAAATTACAGTTTGTTACTC